CTCCGAATGTCGCTTTTATTAGAAGTAATTAGATTAAATAAAAAACCGACCTCATGAGGTCGGTATCACATTAAATTTTAAGATAAATAAAAAGTAATCATGTTAATTAAATAAGACTGACATCGGGAAGTCGGTATTTTATATTAATTTTTTTTTTGACTTATATAAAACCGTCATCCGAAGGACGGTTTATTTAAAGTTAATTGAAAATATTAATTTATTAATTTTCTGGAAGTCACTATATAAATATTTTTAATGAAAATTAATTTAATTACATACTATTTAATTTTACTGACTTCCGGAAGTCGGTATTATAGTTTTTTTTGTTTTTATTTTACACAAAATCGTCCTCCGGAAGACGATTTTAAATAAAATTAATTCAAAATATTTCTCAATTTTGTTTTTATATTTAATTGTGAAAAAATAAAATATGGTTATTTATTTATTTAATACCGACATCAAGAGGTCAGTTTTTATTGTAATTCATTTTTTTTGGGAAACATTCCGACCTCCAGAGGTCGGTATTTGATTTTTTTCGCTTTATTTTGCTTAAAAACCGACTCTTTATAGTTGATTTCAGGTTTTTTTTTTTTTTTTAACAATACCGACCTCCGGAGGTCGAAAATTACCGACTTTCATTGGAGGTCGATAATTTTTAGGTCGGTATTCACTGTTTTTTTAATAGTGATATAACCTAATTACATGATTTATAATTGATTTCGACCCATGCTTTATTCTTTGATATTTTTCATCCATGAACTATATATGAACTATGATCATATGATAAATTGATAAGAGATTTTATGCATGTTTTATGTAAGGATTAAGTTATGATTTAAGGATGCTTTTAAGTTAAGTATATATCAATGGATTGTGAAAGGTTTTCTCACAACTTGCAGAGAAAATGGTCAAATGGTCAAATGACTTCCCAATCTATTAGTCAATTCTCGACTACACACTTATACTTTATGGGGGTCCTATTACCCCCCCTAGACATTTTAAAAGTGGAATATATTACCCCTTAAAAGGTCACACCCAGATTTGTGGTAAGTGGTGGCTGCACGCACGATGCCACATAAATATATTGTACTTTTTTTATTAAAATATTATTATTCTACTTTTTTATTCGATTTCCCTTTTAAATTTGTTTTCTTTTCTATTTCAGCATATTCTTCTTTTCTTTGACTACAAATTTTCTGCCACTAAAGTGAAAATTCGAAGTTCCATTTCTAAAACCTCAAAAATTTTAGTTTCTTAATCTTTGTTTGAATTATTTTCAGAGAAGTTCTCAATTTTCTTATACAAGCCAATCTTGAATATCTAGGTTTGGTATTTAATGGGTGTTCTCCGATGAGTATTGTCGGAGTTTGGGTAGCTAAAAAATGAAGTATATTTGAATGAGATATGAATTTGATTGGTGAAATTCTTGAAAGTTTACGAATTTTCAAAGTCGTAAACATATTGATTTGGTTCACAACAATTTAAAAGGAGAAAATCTTTAGGGTTGTTCATGTTAAAGAATTTGATGTTGATATACTTGTATAGTAATCACTAATCAACTTTCAGATCTGATTTGAATCTAGGTTTCTTCAATTTTGTGCGTTGTTATACTTGAAGTATAAAAATTTAGCTGTAAAAGATACTAATTTTGACTTTGATGCTTTGTTATTTTATTTACTCAACTGAGTTTCCTCTATATTGTTCAATTTTGTGTTTTTGTGCTTCAACTTATGAACACTTAGCTATGCAAAAGTGTTGATTTTTAATTTGATCTCGTATTCTCCTAATTTTTTCAAGTGAAGTCGATTTCTTTTGAAAAAAGAAGAAGAAAGGAGATAGCGGTAAAAGTAACTATTATTAACAGTGAGGCGATTTCTTACTTTTTTCCAGACAACTTAAATCAGACGGAGTGTTGAAGAGATAGAGAAAGAAGAGCAAGAAAATAAAATGAAAAAGATAAAGAAAAGTAAAAAGTAGCATACATAATTTATTTATTTTAAATCAGAAAATTAATATGAAAAAGAAAAATAAGAAAGTTTGTATCTCACTCTCTTTGAGAAAGTGAATTACACTTTCTTTGCCAACTCAGCATTAGGGAGCAAATAATTCTACTATAAAATAGTTCAAGGGGGTAATAGGACCCTCCTAAAATATAAGTGTGTAGTTGAGAATCCACTAATAGAATGGGGGGTCATTTGGCCATTTTCTCCAACTTGCAAGGAAGTCATGATTTTTTATGCTTAGGAAGGTAAGTGTCTATTATGAAGAAGTTTATGAAATCATTGTTTTGAAAGGAGCTACTCTTATACGACTTTATGGTTTGAATTGATATTTTGACTATCATATTTTCTAATGTTATGCTTAGATAATTGACTTTGCCTATTCCGTTGAGATTTTACTTAGCATCGAGAGGACTTTGAGGTGAAGGCTCAATCAGGGTAATCTCTAGGAGCAATCTCTTAGTCCGAAACTATGCGCCCTTGTAGGAATGTCTTAAGTGACGGATCCACATAACATTAATGATATGATACGGAGTTCTACCTTGATAAGTAGACTCTCCCTTTTCGGTGTGGGAGTTACACCGAATTTCAAGCTATAGCTCACATGGTCTATTATCGATTAAAACTAATATCCCATAAAAAAACTATAATTTTTCCTTAAAGCTTTCATTATACCTTTTTATTAATGCTTGACCTTGTCTCATGGTTTTAATTAATGACTTTGCTTTCTAAACTTTTAAACGTTCTACTTAGTCATGCATTACATGTGTTAAGCCTACTATGATATCATGTCTACGTTTATGCATTTTCCCCCATACTTAGTACATTCCATGTACTAATGCATACTTGTGCCTATATTGTCTCATAATTAATATAGGATTTGACGCTCCTTCTCCTCCCGCTCGTGGCTAGCTTGGATTTCTAATAACTATTGGATTGGTGAGTCATCATACTGCGAGGGCAAAGCCATGACGACCGTTTATTGCTTTTATTGTTTACTCTTAAACTTTGTATGTGGTGTATGGTTACGTCTCAACCGCTCCTAAGTTATTTTAGAAGGACTTGTCAAGACTTAGTTATGATTCTACATTCATGTTCAAACTTCCTTTTATGATACGAGACGTCCTACTTAAACTCTCTAATTGTATATTCTATTGTGTTGTATGTATGTCAAGTGGCTTGTGTAGGGTCTTTCGAGGTCCTATACGACATGTCATGTCTAGGGTATACTTTGGGTCGTGACAACTATTTCAATATTTTTGGGAAAATGCATAAGAACCCCCCCAGCCTATACCTAAAATCTCTGAGACACACCTAACCTTTACTAAGGTCCTATTACCCCCTCGAACTTATTTTATATATAATTTTCTACCCCTTTTTGGCCTACGTGGCACTATCTTGTGGGCCCAGCGCGTGTTGACAATTTTTTCTAAGGATAGTGCCACGTAGGCCGAAAAGGGATAGAAAATTAATTAAAAAATAAAGTTCGGGGGGTAATAGGACCTTAGTAAAGGTTAGATGTGTCTCAGGGATTTTGGGCATAGGTTGGGGGGTTCTTATGCATTTTCCCAATATTTTTATTTTAAGTTTAGCTTAGAGGTCATATTTGGTGCACCTGAAATTTTCAAATCCTAAGTTCGCCTCTGAGTACAACTTTTAAAATTCAAATTACATGTCCAAATAAAAATTTCCGCATGCCCTTTCTGATGCAATTTACGATGCTAAATAATATGTTGTTAGAATATCTATCCTAGTAGGAAGATCAACTTCAATGTAACCTCTACCTAAACCAATGATTCAAATCATGATTTTAAGTTCATGTCTAACACCTACTTAGTTTCCGCAATGATACTGATTCAACTTAGTCGGTAAACATCCTTAAAACACTTATACTCTATATGAGCTTGGACTCACAAATTTATTCCTCTCATATAATCTTTTTTTTTTTTTGAACCCCAGGATAACCCGCAACCGCTACAACCTCTGCCCTTCGGATGAGCACTCTGTGGTGAGCACTTTGTGCGCATTGGGTAAATTCCCCACTGTGTAATAGCCTGCAAACAATACCTAGGGGATGTAAACCGCACTAGGCAAGCCCTATGCGACAGGCTCGACGCAGAAGACACTGAGGGGGTATCGATCCCGGGTCATCCGTGTGGATAACTACCCTCCAAACTAACTGAGTCATCCCGAAGAACAACCTCTCATATAATCTTATTGGTCATGAATATTAATTTAAGGCTTTAAGGAGCGCTAAAATTGCTTGGGGCTTCACACGTCAGAATATTCCATTTTTGCAAGTTTACGTCGACATGAAATATTAATATTCCTATCTAATATTGTTATCAACTTATTGTCTTTTTACCTATTTTAATGTAATAAAGTGAAGATATATCTAATCGAAGCATATACAATTATCACAAACTAAAACATTAATTTTTTAGTTTTGATAATATTAAACTAAATATTGTTTCTCAAATTTGCAAGATCATATAAGATACGATCATTTTGGATTTAACATAAGGTTATTAATATAATAACTTCATAAGCTATTTTTCAAATAAGTCATCATTCCTTTTTTATGTAGAAGAGGAGAATACAAAATAGAGAAAAAGAATACAGGTCAAATACAAAACATTTTGCTCAACACCTTGTTTGGATGGTTGTTACCCGTTGTATTGTATTGTATTGTTAGTTTAAATACAATGTTTGTTTTGATAGTTACTTAAATTCTATTGTATTGTATCGTTTAAATCCATCGTTAGGTAACGACGAAAAGACTCATTTTATTTAATGATCGATTGGTGTGATTGCATTGTTACCTTAATATTTTCTTCTCATTTTGTTATTTAATAATTATATTTTATCTTTTATACCCTATATTTTCATAGTAGCTCTACTATGTACCCTACTTTTCTTGTTGGTTTATCATTCAAATTATGGATATGTGACATTATGTAACGACGGAGAACTATACAATCCATTCAAACTATATTGTATTCATTAAAACAATACGGTACAATACAATACACCATAACATAATATAATACGTTACATTATGAAACAATACTTAACACTCGAAACTTCATTCTGGACTACATACTTAATTCTGGTTGCAATAGGAAAGGTTGGGATTGTTCCTCGTCTATTGTTTTCTGCTTTTCCTTCTTACTTTGCTCATTTTCACCATAAAAGTATGATATGAATCCACAAATAGCTAGAAAAATAGCAATTCCCTTTTCAATTTGAAATTTTTCACGGAATAAAATCACAGCTAAGACTTCAGTAATGGGAAGTAAGAAAGCACTAATAATTCCAGAGAGCAAAGATGAAGAATAAAAAATTACTCCAACTATTCCCAATAGTGTGAATTGCCAAATAATGGCACAACATACCAGCACCAAATAATACTTAACGTCTCCAATATCAAATTGGCTTGCCTCTTCTTGAATTGCCTGTTCAAATTTAAATAAGTTATTAATAATAATTTCGTTTATTCCAAAAAAATTTTTGCCTATTATAATGATGAATTGTTATACGCACTAGGCAAACTCAGTGCAACGAGCTCGACCCAGAAGGTAAACCCCTCGCTTTTGCTTGCAAGGAGTTTTTGAACTTGAGACCTTCAACATGGAAGTCTGAACTTCATTTTTTAATTTCTCACATTTTCCAAGTTCAAAAGGAATTTTTACGTTTTAGTTTCATCATTTGAACTTATAAAATTTGTTAAAGTTTAATTATATTTTCATTATAAATAACAAAACTATTATATAAAAAAATTAAAATATTTTTTTTCGATTATAATGTAATACTATCATAAAAAGTAAACATTACCTGAAAATCCTTGTTAATAATCACTCCAACGGTGGAAAAAGCTGTAGCAAAAATAGCAATAATCATTTGAATTTCCAATACAGTAGTGTAAGTAATAGCTTTTTTCGCGTTCATGTAAATCATTTCAATAAGGGGCAATAGTAACCCATAAAGAACGGCTCCTATAACCGACATAAAAAAACCCATCATATAATCCATTGTGGACTCGCCCGTGGGCAAGTCATTGTCTGTCGTCCGCAGCGCCAAAATGGCGGCTGCGGCGATCAACAAAGCAACAGAAATCGCCGAATACGCGGTCAATTTCTGCTTAATGAGTAGCACAGCGAATAGCGTAGTGAACGCTAGTTGAGTCGCGTTAATAAGCGTTGAAGTTGAAACGGGTAATTTTGCGGGCCCCCAAGAGTTAAAGTAGGCAATAAGTCCCGTGAGAATTCCTAGGCCAGCTGAGCCTAGGAATTCTCTACGAGTAATAAAAATGATTTGAGGATCAATTTTACGACGTTGAAAATACGCGATAGCAAGAGGGATGAGAATGATTGGACAGCCAACGGTTTTTAACCAACTAGACATCCAAATTCTTTGGCCACCATGAAGAAAGTATAAACGAGAGATCAAAGGTCCACCACATCTACCAATTGAAAATATAACAATGTTCAAAAATAGTAAGTAATTCTTCATTTTTAATTGTCGTTGTAGTAATACTATTTTTGAGAATTTCCAGTATTTATTCATGAGTATTTATATTAAATCTTACCATGTGTTAATTAAATATTGATTGTATGTCTTTTAATTTATTGACATGAGTATTTATATTACATCTTACTAGTTTGATTTTGTTTATTGGTAAGCACGTTGCACAACTTGTTATTTTTTTATTATTCTTCAATAAAAAAAGGTTGTGTGTAGTGTATATATAAGTGTTTATTTGATTTAGTATGAATGAAATTTATTTCATGACTTCTCTTTTCTATTTTTTTAAAAAATAATCTTGTAGTGTGAGATGCGCTACTGTGTTGTTTAATACTTATTCACACTCTTGTATATTTTTCAATACATGTTATGCATTTATTAATTTGACTAGTCACTTTCCCATCTTTCTTAGGTGGTATCGGAGCCAGCTTGAGCGTACGTCAACTATTTAACATGATAAGGTAACTTTAAGTTTACGCAAACACGAAGATATTATCTAGTAGTTTTTTTAGCTTCCGTTGAAATTTAACGTAAGACCTCTTCATTCTCTTCTCATTTTATTATCACTACATTATGCTCTTTAATGATTTTTTCAAAAAAATATTCAACCTCTTTTATTTGGCAGAAAGAACAAAATGTGGAAAAAGGAAGAAGATTTAAACAAGAACATAAATTATAAGAACATAAAATTCCAGTTTAAAATAGTAGTAAAAGGTATGAACTCAATGATGTGTACTTAGAGGGCTCAAAGTTCGAACTCTTTCAATCACATTATTTATTTATTAGTCCATGAATATTGTGATAATATGATTTTTGCAAAACATTCACGGAATCCTCCGTATGAAGTTGGGGGAGAGGTACGCACAGTTTCACCATTGATATGATATTTTTGCGCATTTAGGAGTCAATTTACAGAAATAAGGTGATTTTCTTAGTTTTTCGGGTGCGTTAGCCCATGGATATTTGGTGATATGGCCGATGGGCAATTTTTTTTTGTAAAACCTTTATGGAACCCCTCCCCGTAGGAAGTTGAGGGAGCAGTACATACAATCTCACCATTTTTACGACATTTTGGGGGCAGTTTACATGAATTAGACATTTTTCAGGTTTTCATGTGTGTTAGCCCATAATATTGTGGTGATATGGATTTCAGACGATATTTTTGAAAAACCTTCATGAAACCCTCCGTAGGGAGTTGGGGAGCAATACGTGCAACCTCACCATTTTTGTGACATTTTTCGACATTTAGGGGACAATTTACATGAATTAGCCGTTTTTTCTCAATATTTGTGTGTGTTAGCCCATGAATATAGTGGTGATATGGCTTTTATACGATTTTATTGCAAAACCTTTATGGAATCCTCCGTAGGAAATTGTGGTAGCATTAGTATAGTGTCACCATTTTTACAATATTTTTGGACATTCATGGACCAATTTACAAGAATTAGGTGATTGTCTTAGTTTTTTGAATAACACATATGAATATTGGGGTAATGTGACTTCCAGACATTTTTTTTGCAAAACCTTTATGGAACCTTCCACAGGGAGTTAGGAGAACTGTACATACAGTCTTACCATTTTTACGACAATTTTTGGGGATTTTTTTTATATATGAATTAGACAATTTCTTAAGTTTTCTATTGTGTTAGACCATGAATATCATGTTGATATCACTTTCAAACGTTTTTCTTGCAATACCTTCACGAAACCCTCCGTAAGATGATGAGGTACACCGATACATAAAATCACGATAAAGAATGTTGAAACCTTACACGAAAGCTCGTGCACGTAAAATTCAAATAATATTCATCATCATCAATGACGCAACCACATATATTCTAAAGGTGTCAACTAACACCACTTCACTCAAAAGGTAGTATGTCGATAGGTGAAAAGTTTTATTTATATGCAATCTATTTATTGAATCCTTAAATTTACTATTATATTTTCTTTTTAAAATTTTAACAACCCTTAAAAAAGTTTAGTTCCTTCATTTTAGTCAAGGTATAATCTTAAGTTGATACTCACAAAAGGACAAATAAGTTTTAAGCAAGTAAATCTCATTTTGCATAAACCATTTGCAACAACTATTCTCATTTTTTTGTAGAAAAGAAAATCTACGAATTTTTTTTTTATTATAAAAATTGGACAAATACTCACTCTCTAGAAGTATTGTTTTTCTTGTCCTAAAAAGAATCAAAAGTCACTCTTTGATTGTTTATTTTCAAGAATTAATGGAAGATCCAATGATGGATGAAAGAGAAAAGTTGATGGTTTTATCAACTATTCTGTTTTATCCATCATTGGATCTTTTATTGATTCTTGAAAATGAACAATTAAAGAGTAAAATATGGTTCTTTTGGGACAAGGAAAAAATGCTTCTATAAAGTGAGTATAGTTTTTCAAAACCTTATTTTGTTCAATTTTTAATGTAATTTTTTTTTCAGATTATTTTTAAAGATGAGATCGACAGAACTTCTCACAAGTTCTATAATAGACAGTGCAACAATCAACAAAATCAGTGAAATTTGTCCGAATTTAAGAACAAATAATGGTATTAATCCCTTGATTGAATTCAATCCACTTGAACTTTTATTTGAATAAAAAAATAGCTAAGAAAATGCAAAACGACTCAAAGTAAGAAATAAGGTCCATAGATCTACAACTCAAGAATGTTCAGATCAAATCAAAACAACAATAGATCAAGTTCAGAAGCATACCTTTTCCTCGAAGATAAACCAGAAATGGTCATTAGCGTTTCAGTGATGTTGAGGTTTTAAAAGAGTAGGAGCAGAATTGAGACTTCAGGGTGGAGGTCGATGAGCTCTCTGAGAAGATCTGGAATGTCCCTCTTTTCACTTTTTTTTTACTGCTTTTGTGTCCTTCCACTTTTCATTTTATCTCCTTTTTTTGTTTCTTTGTTTATGTATTTATGTGTTTTGAAGTGGGATTGGAAGGGTAAACTTTTATCATTTGGGGAAAAAATAATTTTTAATTAAATATGTATTGCAAAGTACACTCTTATATTGTCTATCAATCATAAACCCATCAATCAATATGTTAAATCATGTCCAAAGAATGATAACTCAATTATTTTGAAGCAGTTGTGTAGTAGGGAGAGGAAGACACTGAAAAAAATGGAACAATTTACAAAGTCCTTGAAGGCAACAAAAAAATAGAGATGATACCTAGCCTATGTTATTTCATCCAACAAAAAGGACTTGATAAAATAGAGGATCTGGAGTCAAGAGTAGAAGTTTTAAATCTGGAGGAAGCCATCAACACTCTTAAAGGGCGGCGGAGCAAAGCTACCCGTGCACTCTATCTGTTACATGACTACTTGCAGGAAGATAGTGAGCAAATATCAGAGGAAGAAAAAAAGGAGAAAAATAAGGAAAAGGACTTGCCAAATGAAGAGGCTCGCCTCCTTTAGACAAGATCCGACAACAAAAAACAAGCACAACTCATGTAATCTGAAAAAACAACTGGAAAAGAACATTGAAGTCAATAGCAAGAAAGGAGGATGAACTCAGAAATAAGATACTTACTCTTGTTAGCTGATTTTTCAACAATCAAGAGGAACATCAACATCACGTTGATAATCTATAGCAAGAGAAGGCGGAGAGATGAATTAGTCACAAAAAGCAGCATTCTCAGGTCAGGAAATGAAATTATGAAATCAAGGGAAGAGGAGAAGAAAGCGGCGAAAGGATAAAGATGAATGAAGTGATAATATTGGAAAACCCTACCTTGAAATAGATATATATTCATATCTGAATTGGATGGGCCTGGGTCTTATTTGTTATTTGTTTTTTGTTATTGATTAAATGATTCTTATTTTAGTAATTGGCTAGTTAGGGTTGGGCTTTGCCCGTGAAGGTGTAAGGAGGTGTAAATTTGTTTCCTGTTGAAAAGTCATGAATAAAAAGTCAATTTTTACTCTTTTTTAAAAAAAAGTGTTATGAAGTGGACTCAAACACTTTGGCTAGCCCACATGTACTTTCATTTTTATTCTAATAAAAATTAGACACAATGAGATTTTGAGGGGAAAAAATGTGGTTATTTAATGTCAAATAAATATATATAAAAAAATTGCTAAATTTTTTAAAACGAACTATTTATTGTACGCTAGCCTCTTTCACACCAGGCGACTCCTATGGAGTTTTAGCCTCCACGGCCGAAACAATCTCTACCCAGCCTCAAGCTGTGGAAGAGACGCTTGAAAAGCCTAGTTATACGTCTATTTTTAATCCATCGACTTGCACTCAAAAATCTGATGGAAAACTTCCATTAAAATTAAAACCCGTGATCTATGTTCATGGAGAACCTACTGTGAGTTTCAACTTTTCGGATTTGGAATCATATATCCAAGAAGAAAACTTGCAATATGCTCTTGTTGCTAAGTTTTCTTATGGGAGACCCGATATGATTGATCTTAGAAAGATTTTTACACGACACTTTGAAATCAAAGGAGATTGCAATTTAGGACTACTAGATCATCGTCATGTTCTGGTAAGACTATCGAATTGGGAAGACTTTGTGGAGGTGTACTCTAAGGCAGTATCATTCATCGCAATAAAAGAAAAGGGTGTGAATAATCAATACCAATGTCGAATTCAACCCTGGACACCATGGTTTAATCCAAAAGAGGAGACATCAATTGCTTTAGCTTGGATTTCTTTTCCGAGTCTGTCAACATAGATGTTTGCTCGTGAAGCGATGCCTTCACTTGCATCTGCCATTGGGACATCCCTACAAGTTGATAAGGCAACAACGGATAAGTCAAGGCCTAGTGTAGCTAGGGTAAAAGTGGAGGTTAATCTATTATCATCTCTTCCGAATAGAGTTAGAATGTTTTTAAAAGATGAAAAAACTTGTGTCATTAAAGAGGTGTTGCAAAAAATTGTCTATGACAAACTGCCTTCATACTGCACAACATGTAAACACTAGGGTCATAAGGAGGAGGAATGTAGACTGACTATGGAGGTAGAAGGTGGACTGATTGATGAAACAAAAATTAATGGGAAAAAGTTCGAAGGAGATTTGCGATCAATTTTGGATGAGAAAAAAAAAGTTCTTTCTCTTAAACAAACAAAAAAAGAGGTAACATTACCAACTTCTTCTAACAACAATTCTAAAAAAAATAGTGGGGAAAAAGTTGATGCACCACGTCCCCTACTTGTTGCTGCAACATCTGGGAACAAATAAGATACATAAGTTATGTTACCTGGGACACTAACTTCTAAGATTACTGAGCAACTTGGTACGACCACATCGGGGTCTTCCACTCCTGTCCATATTGATGTTGAGGCACAAAATAATGTAGATAATAACTTAAGGCAGTTGATCGTTACATCACAAGTCGCCATAGAGCAGTTATCGTCTATATTTGTGAACGATAGAGAGTTGGGTTCGCCTAATTCAGTTGTGGTTACTAAATCAAGGAAAGATGAAGCCAAAAAAGGCAACACTACCGTAGAAAAATCCAGTAATCAATGGACTTTGGTCTCACATAAAAAATGGTTGGTTCTAAGTCCTCAAATAATCACACTTTGCACCAAAACAATTCTACACATGTTGAGTTTGATAGAAGTAATAGTGTCGTTGAATGTACTCAGTTTGATGTGTTACGAGATGAGAAGTTTGGACAATATGAAGGGCTACATGTTACGGATGAATTATCTGCTTAATCTGGGAATACTTTAGACTTGGACAAGCAGATTGAGCAAACGGGAAAGTTGAAACAATGTTGTCACGATGAACATACTAATCAACAAGCTCTTGTGACACATGAAAATGAGTTCACTGTTACGGAGAAGATAGATGGCAAAGAAATCAATCCAAATACACCTACTATGTTTATTTTAGATCAAAAGGTAGCTACAAACAATTTGAATGAATCTAAGGAAAAACGAAGGGGGGGGGGGGAGAGTGCTTCAAGATGGGCAGATTTAGTTGAGGAAGAGAATCATACTCCTTCACCTAGTAGGAGTAAGTTAAGCCCTCAAACACTTGAATTTGTGCCTACAAGTAAAGCAAATTCATCTATGGCAGTCATAGGTACTTCATCTAACTTGAGCGCTACAAAAGTAAACATGGATGATAGAGATTTTCTTTATGACTTGGACAATGACATGTCTGATGGAGACGATGAAGATGAAATGTTGGATATATGCTTTGATAAGGTGGCTAAAGAGGGGGATCTTTCACCTAGACAACAAATTAAGAAGTGGAAGCACCAAATGCAAAAGGAAGACACATAGAAGACAACATAGTTAGGATGGTAAGGTGAGCGAGGATTTTGTTCCAAGACACCTACCGATGAGACTAGCAAAGCAAAATCATATGACAGTGTCAACAACTTTATCAAGATCCAACAAATCCAAGAAGAAGTGATGAACTATCAATTATTTTTGGACAAATTTGAAGAAGAAGACAAGAGGCAAATACCTCAGATTACTTTAGACGGGCAAACTATTTGTTTTAGATCATACATATATCAAATGAACTTTGAGGTGGCTAACTCATCTTTATTCTTAGATTTTATATTCTTGCATTATTTAAGTATATCATCATAAAGAGTATTATAAACTCCGTGATGATCATAGAATACCTAATTTTCTCTAGTTCTTTTTTTCTTCATGCTTGTTAATTAGTAGAGATTTGTTGTCTCATTAGGATTAGTAAGGTAAGGCCTAGCCCCCCTTACTTGTACTTATCTCTATTTATATCTTTTTATTTTTATTTTTTTTAAAAGAACTATTTATTGTCAATTAAGTCCATAGGTTGTTATGTTATGTCAATTTTTTCTTTTTATTTTCTTCATAGAGAATATCACAAAATTTATAAAATCGAACTTAACTATGAATTTCATCGCTAAGTAACTTATAATCAATAATATTTTTTTATAATCTATCGCTATTCTATTATTAGTAGAATTAACGAACGATTCTTTCGATTACCTTACAACACAAACATCATTATTCAATATCATCCGATTAGAAATAAATGGTTAATCTAGAATCATGCATATTTATAAATCGTAGTTATGCTAGATCTACGACGAAAATCATATGTATGATATCCGAAAAAATGAATAGCTACTTATTCGTATCAATTCTGAATTGATTATTTGGCGCTTTAGGAAGATCTACGGAGAAATCATTCTTCGCCTGTTCTCCATCTAGACCTTTTAAGAAACTACATTGCTATATATATATATATGTGTGTGTGTGTGTATTGGGAGAATGCAATGTAAGATTCTAGTAAAACGAATGCATAAAATCTTTCAGCTCCAAAGTTGTGTGCATAATTTAAGCATTTTGCAAGATAGAGTATCGTGAGACACGTTAGACATTTGATTAAGCATTGCCATTATGTATCATTGTGGAGTTGGATGGAATCATGGAACTAGAGGTGACAATTGGGACGGAATTGGGGTGAGGCGGGGGGATTTTAAATGGGGTAAATGGCAGAAAATAATATTTGAAATACTTTAATACTACTAAATAGGACAGGACAGGGCTAAACAGATTTGGGTTTGGGTTTAGCTTGCGGGCTAAAATTTTGCAATTAACATTGTGAATATTAGGGAAAACTACATAAATTAGATTCATTAAGTAAAGTATTTACCCAAATTAGACCTAATTCAAACTATTTATCCTGATTGGACCCACGACTCAAACTATTTACGCAAGTACCCCCTTGTTCTATTCATTGAACTATTGCTTCTCCATCCTTGATACCATTGGAGTATATATATACTATGATGATATCAGACATTAATTTAACAGTCTTTATATTGAAACACTATCTCTTCCTCTTTGATGTCATCAAAGTATATATATACTCTAATGATATTAAAGAGTAATTGAGTATGTTTTATGCGAATTAAAAACATAGGGCCTATGAAAGTGAATAGCCATATTAAGTATATCTTTATGGGTTAGCATGGTAATTTTCATACTTATTTCAAATGCTTAAGTTCAAAAAAATGCTTCCATTTTGCATAGGAAAAAATGAGAACATTTAATTTTCTTTTGTACACCCGAATCGCCAACTTTCTTTTGTAATAGTATTTATACATCCACTATATGATATTATATATTTATTATACACCATGTATCAACTTTGTAGTAAAGTGTATAATTGTGCTAAAGGGTGTGTATACACATGTTTACCTTGTTATACAAAATTGTGCAATATTCCTTATACAACAATCGAGTTTGGTCTCACACGAATTTCAACCCACGAAACTTCATTCGAAACGGATAAGAAATATCAACAAATAACTCAAATCTTCATTGCATAACTTCAAATTTTAACAACTTCAAAATGACATTATCAACAAACAAAAATAAACATTACAACAAACCTCAATCATCAATTTGTCCAAAAAAATTCACAAATCACAAAACTCATTAGTGAATTTTCAAGCTTCTAAAAAATTCAATAATGGAGTTTTAATTTTTCATTTTAGTACACACAACAATGTTTAGATTTGAGATGATAAACATGATTGCTACCTCAATCAATTTCTAAGCATAAAAATGAATATCATAATCACAAAGTAAGTGATTAATGTTGATCATGTTTTATTGTGAAATTTATTTTAAAAAAGAAGTTTTTGTTTTTAAAGTGAATAATAATATTTGAAAATTGATATGGAATTATAAAAGTGCATCATTAATGTCCTCATGCAGAACAGGCAGCTAATAAAAATTTCATAAAATATTTGAGCTCCATAGTCGTGAGTATTTGTTTAAACATTTTGCCAGATAAGAGCATCTTGAGACATGTTAATTAGACATTTGATCAAGTATTGCAAGATCTTCATACCAG